GACTGATAAACAGTTACAGAAAATTGTGTGTTGTCTCCAAGGGAGAGATATTGTCAAAGAGAAAATAAAAGTATAGCACCTGCTGTGTCAGGGGTAGACATGATCATTAATAAGATAAGATCACTTTATTGGCCATATACAGTTTCTTGTATTAAGAATTTGTCTTTTTGCATACCCCAACCCATGGAGAATAAGACACACAGACAGAGAGAGAAGCTTGGGGTCAGAGCACAGGGTCAGCCATTTATACGGCACACCTGGAGAAGTTGGAGTAAGGGGCTTGGCTCAGGGGCCTAAAGGAGTAAGATTTCTCTGCTGGCCAGGGGGGTACGAAACGGAAACCTTCCAGCCACAGGCACAGATCCTTAGCCACAGAGCCACTGCACCTTAATGAAGACAGGATTGTGTCCCTGGCAAAACAGGATCAGCCAGTATAGTTAGAGATGAAGACGTCATGTCCGCTCTCACCATAGTATTACAAACTGCACTACAATCACCACAACAACTGACAGATCTGTCAATCAGTCCATCGCTTTGACAACCAAATCAGGTAAAAAATTATCCTACCTTTCCACACTTAATACCTGACAATATAAGGCCTTCCCCCGTGATACTCCAGCACTCACTCTAAGTGTGTTTTACCTTGCCTACCCTACCCTAGTCTGTTGTCTGCCTTGGAATGTGTTCTCAAAGGCTTGTTCACTCACCTAATAAGACTGTTCATTACCTGCAGTTGGATCCAGTTTTCAGCCTCGGATCTCTACACTTCACAAGTATAGCCTATTAATGAAGAGTGACACAAGTGTTCACAAAGGACACTTTGCCTAGGGAAGACAATGAGAAAAGAGTTGAATTAGAGTTGGTTGAATTAAAGTGATTATAGGTGAAAAGTGATTAATAAGGTGGGGTTTGTGATTGAGTCAGGTACAATACTCCAGTGTTTGATACTTTTAGTAAAGAGTGACTAAAGAGAAGTTATTAGATTAATGATAGACTAAATGAAATCCAGAGAGAAGAACCACATAACAGAAAACTATATAAACTTCTCTGAGAGCTGACCAACGATAAGACCCAGGGTGACCCTGGAAGTGTTTGCTCTGCAAGGCTTATTTATAGATCACTCAAAACATTACAAAATTAAGGTGTTATAATTTGTTAACAAGTCAAGAATTCCTTCACCACTGTAGGAGTTGGTGATTTTAATTTGGAGTAATAATTAGAAATTAGAATTGTAAAGCAATCTGCTATGAAGTGAATGGCTGATCGTCCACTCAAAGATTACAAGGAGAAGAGTTAATAAATTCAGAGTTAAAATACTCATTGACTATACCATGGTACAGTCTACCTTGTTAGTTCTATCAGTCTCATACAGTATATTTAAATCATATTTATTTTCTCAGATAAAAGTAAATATGCTATTACTGTTGAGAACTAAACATCTTACATGCATTTGGAATTGTTCAGCTCTTGAGTATTATAATTTGAATAATGAAGTTTTATACTCAAATCCATTTAATCTCATCCTTGATGAGTTAAACTTCATGCTGATAAAACAGAGCTGGGCTGGATTGGTCTGTGGCAGCTGCTCCATGCTGGGAAGGTCCCAGTGCAGACAGAAGAGGGAGAATAAGCTTTGCCTTGCTCTGGGACCCACGCAGCTCTGCCAAAGTAGCTTCTTGATGACTTTGGTTTTTCAAACAGTCTGTGCACAGTTTGTATTCTTGGACTCTGGCTACAATGTAGACAAGGAGGAACTCAGTTCATTATGGCTATAGCTTTGTTCTTAATATGCTTTTATATTCAGGATGTCAATAGATGGATGTGTTCTGGATGTCATTAAAAAGAAATGACAGTTGGACTCTTTCTTAATTGGGTAAAAATAACTGTGAGTTTGTGAACACAAGATTTCTGTACTGAACTGATTTACTCTATTGGCCTGGCCTCAGACTGCATGCAGTCATGTGGTTTGAAAAGCTATTTTGCCATTTTGAGAGAGAGATTAGAAGCCAGTGGATAAACAGCAGAAAATGTGTTGAGTTCCTGTTCTTAAGGTATGATATCACAAGTTGGTGATTGGCTGAGATTCTATCAGGTTTGGATCTGGTACCCACACTACAAGCACCCATTGGTGGATCTTCCTCTGGGTGATGGATATTGACCTTTGGCCTGTGGTATTGAGAAGAAGCCTGGAGATTTTCTTGAGCTCATCTGTACAATATATAATTAAATGTACAACATTGAAACAGCTTTATGGTGACTCTTATCAGAGGGGTCTCTTTAGCCACATTCCTCTGCATTTAGAGAAAGGCACCAGATGCCTTGTCAAGGCACACAAAGATTATTATAATTTTTTAATAACGCTTAATTCTAAATGAAATAATAGGCCTTGTTCCATCACCAGCATGTAAACAAAAGTTAAAATATTTTTTTCGATTTATGTGTGGTTGTTGATGAGGCAGAGAAGCACTGAACATATTTTTCTGAATTTTCCTCTTCTATTATCTGTGCAAATTGGGGGATATGTACAGAAAATAAATGCAAATTACAATTATGTGATGTATAAAACAGTATTTATACCCTCTGACTTGCTACATATTCTATCCCCCTTTAGAGGATTTTTTGTACTTAGCACAAACATTTTAATGTGGCTTCATATAAGGATTGTTCCACTTAGGCAGCTTTCAGCATGTTAAATCTGGCGAAGTCACAACTTTAATTTTTTCAGCGATTCATCTGTTATATATCAATTAGCTGCTCATCAGCTAATTGCCATGACAAATACATCACTTTTTCCTCTACATAAACTCCCCTGTTGACTAGGAAGTATGCTTTGTATTGTTGTCATGTTAAATATCACTGAGTCAATAATCTGGAGTGAATAATCTTCTTTTAATCTTTGATCTTTGAAGCACATAAAATGTAAAAAAAGCTACATTCAAGTTTGTCTTTTTTATGAAATGAAAATGAATGAGAGATGCTGAAATGGAACCTAAAGTTTAATTAGCTGGGTTAACAGGCATGCATAACAGTCCTTCTTGTGCCTTAAAGGGGGGGGGGGGGGTAGGTTTTAAACCTATGACTGGGTTTTCAAGATGCTCACTGAAGTGAATCCTAAAATATTATAGAATATATCTGTGAAAGAAGAAAATGATTTTAACATTTGCTATAATTTTGAATGTCATTTGGAATATTTGCCGTGAAAGGGAAGGGATTTTTAGCAGCAATATCAGATGAGATACTAAAGTTTGCTTATCACAACTCATAGCAGGAGCCATTTACTGTATCTTTGAATTGAGAAATTATCTTCAATACTTCAGCTCTTAAAGTTCTACAAACATCTTGAAAACAATTTGGGGCCTGGAGCCACTGCAATTGCAAATAGAGTATCCATTTCTTGGCTTTGATACACCCAATCCTAGCATGAGGATTGCAATTGGTGTATACTGTATATTTGTGCATGTTGATTTCTTTCTTGGACAGATTTTGGAATGCTCATACAATTCTGTAGACGGTAGTCAGTGCTGCATGTGCTAGGATTTATGAGCTAGTGTAACATTTGTTTGCTCAGATTTCAAACAAAGAAAATTACCATGTTGCTAAATATTGATTTATTGGTTATTTAGCAGCAGGAAAAGAATTACCAAAGTGAAATCTGCTTTGAAATGAGGTGTACTTTAGGAAGACTTTGTCAAACTACATAAAGCCAACATGGGTGGCTGGTACATAAAAACTTAACAGGGGTTATAGCCCAGAGAAGACTGTCAATCCATCTGGCTCATTTGATACATGATTTCTTGAAGATAGAGGGATCTGTGCAATCTCAGCCATGATTGAGAAGTGCCAGCAGATTGAGAGTACCCAGTACACTAGGAAGAGATTTGGAGTGGTATTCCTCTCTCATTGTTAAATGACGGAGTCCCTTAAAAAAAGAAACTGAACAACCTAATCAAAAACAAACTGCAGTCTTTTATAATTCAAATGGAAATATGTTAATATTTTTAATTTGTATGCAACAAAAAATATTCTTTCCCATATACTATAACAGCTTATTAAAAGAAAAAAAAATCAAACTATATGTAATTCAGGATTGTTTTTTGTTAGAAAATCCAATTTTTACTTTGAAGTAATTATTAAATCTTAATAAGATCAAGTTGGGAACTGCTTTTAGACTTTCTTGAATATTCCTTTTCTAATTTCTCTGTATATTCTGACCTTTACAGTTTTGTCCATTTCTCCTTGTAAGTCTATTATTCAATCATCCATTTTTTAGAATTTAAGACATCATGAAAAATAACACCAAATATTGTGTCACAGGTGTCAGCTGTGTTTTTTGTAACACTGAATGCAGTGTGATGTAAAATTATTTATAACAAATTCAAGCAAGAACTTGAACTTGAAATTTAATTTATAAGAAAGTGAGTGCCACAAAATGTTACTGTGAGTTGCAATACCAGTATACTGATGAACAAATCTTGTGAAATAGCATTAATCTATTCAAAAGGCTTAAATCCCTTTTCCTAAACATCTTAATGAAGAATACCATACAGTACTAGCATTGTCTTCTTCTTATTAATACACACTGGCCTTGAGGAAGGTACAGTACTTTACCCCAGTATTGCTGGGAATCAGCATTGTTGGGAATAAACATATAAGGGAGTGTCCTATGTGGGGGTGGAAGGCGTACTTTAAACCTACAACAGAGTAATCTCTGGATTGATGAGGGTGATCTTAAATATGGACTTTGTCACTGTGAAATTTTGCTAAGTGATGACCAATCACTCATGGGAGAGAAATGAGCTACTGGTGCAACCAATGTTACCTACAGCAGTGCCGTCGCAATGCTTAGATACTAGTCGGCAGCCCTTTGACGTCGTAATATTGCATTCAGGGCAGATGCCTTTAACAGAGGAACCACATGGGAGTCCATGACATACTTTTTAATCCTGCTTCTTTATATTAGTCTTTTGGTTGGAAGTTAATCCTTTCTCATTTAATTGCAGCTATCAATGAGTTCCCTGAAGACCTGTTTACAAACAAAGAAAGAAAACAAGGAGCTGTGCTGCTGCATATATTTGCGGTAAGAGAGCTCTTTCTTATTTGCCTCTAAACTACTGGTGGATGTTTTTGGCATATAAAATATTACAAAAACCTGAATAATTTCAGACAAATAATTAGAAAATAAGTAAAACGATAAGCACTATTTTCATATAAAAAATTAAAATGTAAGTATGCATTTTTCTTATCTCTACACTTGACTATCATGCAATTAATGCCATTCTCAGACATTCTTGAATTCTTTATAAATAAAGCCTAAGTGAAAGAAAAAGAAAAAATTCATTTGCAATATGTGATACATGTGGTAGAACCTTGATTACTCTAGGATTGACATGTCCTGAAATTTCCACTTCAGTGTAGAATAAATTGAAGATGTTCAGGAAAGCCAACTGTCTCTTGTGCCAATTACCAGCTTCCCTCCCAAAACTTTCCCAGTTCGAATACAGGCCCCTCTTAACCCTCCCTTCCCCAGTCCAAATACTTTTTGTGTATCATCTGAAGCATTTCCCTATAACATTACTGTACTAAGATGTGCATGTTTAACACTTTTGAGGCAGGGGTCCTCTCATTTTTTTCCTATTAATGCCCATCGTACAAAGTATTCAAAATTCGTTGACCACCAAACATATACTGTACAGATGGAGTGTTCCTTATCTCCTTTTTCTTTGCAAATGGAGTACTGGACATCATATACATTGATCCTTCCAATGATTCCATTGATCCTTAGGAAAGCCACTTAAGCCTAGTTATGGTCGCGCAAACCCAGAGCTACATGGTGGTAACCTGGATGGGACCCACCAACCAACATTGTCATGTCTTTAGAAAGTGGAAGGACCCAAGAGCTAACTGTGCTGCTGACGATATACATATTTTCATAAATATACATTGTTTGCTTCTGAAATTAGAGCAAAATATATAGAAAAATCCAGTTACACACTTTCTAAAATTAGACATAAACTCACAGGAGAAAATTCTTGTTTTTGAAAATTAACACATTACTCCCATTTTATCCTGCTTTCACCTAAAGCCTCATAAGGGTTTATGAAAAGGAATCATTTTAGAGGTGATTGACACCACTAATACATCAAATACATCTTGTCCAGTTTTCACGAATCACAAGACTGAGAATTTCAGTCAGAGATTAAAAAGAACACTAATTTTTGTTTGGTTATTTTTTATGTTCCTTAAGCACTGTTGTATTGTCAGCCTCTGCATGTTGTCTGTTTATATCATCTGGGGAGCTGGAACCTGTCCCAGAAAGCAATTATGTACCATGGACAGGACACCAGTCCACCCCAGGGCACACAAAGACACAGACAGGCACATACAGTATTCATACAAGGGCCAGTTTTCCCAGAAGCCAGTTAATTTACCAGTAAGTCTTTGGACTGTGCGAAGAAAACCAGAGCGCCTGGTAAAAACAGACACAGACACAGGGGAAACTCCATGCAGATAGCACCCCAAGTTTAGAATTGAACCCAGGTACCTAGCACTGTGAGGTAGCAATGCTAACCACTGCACAACCATGTAGCCCATGTTTAGATTAGGGGCGTCATGGTGGCACAAGACCTTTAACTTTTACAAGGAGCACCATAACAATGCTGTAACTTCCTGCATTGTACTGAATTAATCACCCTGCTCCAGTACGGTAGTTAGATGCTGTTTCTTTTGCAGCATTGTTCCACTGCATTCTAAGTCATGCTTAAAATAATCTGAATAATGAAATCAAATTCATAATATTTAGAACTGAGATCCTGTACCCCAGAAAATCCTATGAATTTTAAGTGTGACAGGTACTGTAAAGGTATTTTAAACATTTAACTAAAAAGGAAGATTAAAAATCACTTAGTTTGTGGTTTCTTCTTTTTCAATACATTATTTTAATAAATCTCTGCACAAATAAACTGTCTGCTTCTGTGAAAATGAACCATATAAGACATCAGCTCCATATTTTAAATTCTTTAAGCAGCTTGTTGGTCTCCACTTTGTTTTTTCACATAATGCCTAGAGCTCGCACATCCAATGTAATTCTTGGATGATATCAATTATTGATGTGTTGGTTTCTCTGAGTTATATTAGTGCATTATGAAATATTCCAGACATTTTTCATGTTGGTGGTGCACAAATTATACATGATCCATCCGTTTTTGGCACTTGAAAAATAATTTATATTACAATCAAAAAGATAATATCAAAGTAATTTAATTTTGTGATCCCATTAATTAATGTTGGGTCAAATGTCTTTATAACTACATATACAGACTGCTCAAAATCTACAGGTACATAATAAAATAGGTATAATAAAGGCAGTTCACTAACTGAAAACTCAGAAGATATAATTTAAAAAGTCTAGTCAATTCCTGATCATTAATGGAACCATATAGCATTCTTTTCTGATTCTCATTTACTTCTTGTCCTTCACACAGAAATTTACACCAAAGGTTTCTACAAAAACAATGCCTAAGAAAGAAGTTCATGGGTTTCTGGGTGTCTTTTAATTTTGTGTAGGAGTGATACGTGGAAATACAACATATTTTTTTCTCCTGGTTGAATGTTGAGATTTACAAAAAAGACAATTTTTATAAATTACAATATAAAGTAGCAAATAATTAGTTTGTTCAAGGAACCAGGGTCACCCAGAAAAGCTTGTCCAAAAATGCCAACCCTAAACAAAAAACGTGAATTTGTTTGCTGTTGCAGCACATTAAACTGGAAGAAATTATGGATTTCTGTGCTTCAATAATGCTGCACTCACATCTTGAACAGCTTGCCTTGTTGCACACCAGTACCTGTAACACAACTTACTTTCAATGAAACCAGTTGAATAAAAACGGAAACTGCTGACACTTTTGCCAGGCAGACTGTGATATTTCCCATACTGGTTTTCTGCAGGTCTGCCCGCAGTAAATATCCCTTTAATGTTCTTGTTCTGTGTTGTCACTCATTTGCTATACAAGTTTGCAGATATTTTCTTTTGTAATGTCTGATTTCAGTTACCCTGGCTAGCACGAATCATGGTCTGATTTACACTCTTTTTAATCTAGTTCCAGATTAGGGGTTATTTGGGTTTGTAAGACTAGTAATAGGGTGTTCAGTAATGTACAGTACTATACCACAAAATCAACCTAGTTTCAGCTGCTCTTAAAGAAGTTCTCCCACATACAGTATATTCAGACCCAATTGTACAATCGGAAGAATTACTTTGGTGAATGTTAATATTACCAAGTCATTGCAATTATTCTAGTGCAAGCGCTCTTACAGGCAAAGTGTTCAGAATACCATTTTTGAGCTATTTTTTCATATCTGTGCAGTTTCTGCTCCAAAGAATTGAGCTTAAGCACTTTTTAATGTTGTGTTTGTAGTTGCACTGTGGCCAGAATAGGGCTTCTAGTAATCTGAATACACTGCATTATCACACATTCCATTACCTAATATATGTTTATTTGTTTGAAGCTGTCTATAAGGAATACTTTAGGATTTTGTTGGTCTTTTAATCTGTTCCTCACATTTAACTGTATAAAGGCTTTGAGTAACCATAGACATCTAGTCATCCTCTTGGTTGCCTCCTCAAACTGAACTGATTTTAAATAAACAGTAGTATACATTTATGTCGTCTGCACATAACTCTTTGTTTTTGTTTAATTTGCCACATATCATCTTTGTTTTGGGCAAATCTTAAAAATATCTGCTTTCAGAATCTTGATCTAGTATTGTCTAATTTTTACCACTTTATCCAATACAGGGTCACAGATGTCCTGTAACCTATCCACAAGGCACAAGGGTGCCAGTCCATCACAGGGCATACACACACACACTCACAACAAGCCACTTTTCCCTGAAACTGATTAACCCTCCTGTACTTAACCGGTAATTAGCTCTTTGACTGTGGGAGAAAAATGGAGCACCTGGAGGAAACTCACGTGAACATGGGGAGAACATACAAACTACACGCAGATAACATCCCAGGAATTGAACCCAGGGCCCCAGCACTGCAAAGCTGGAGTTTCTTGTCCAATGAATAAAGGGCTGAAAAAAGTCATATATAGAGACTAATGGACACTGACAAGTTTACAAAATATCATAAATACATACTAGATGCAACAAAATATAATCATTCTAAACATCATTCATTCACTGTTTTTTCCTTCACCTGGTTGCTCGTTGAAACTGCTTCTCTCAAAATGAAATCTTTGTCCTTCTGTAAATAGTATCCAGATCCACCTGGGTATTCAGTTCAGATGAAGCAGATTAAGGTTGTTATACATTGTCTTATCCTGCCTCTGGCTGTCCTGAACTGCACAATTGGGAGTGCTCTGCAAAAGTATTCATACCCTGCCAAATTTTAACACTTCCTTGTTTTAAATCTTGCAGTCAGGACACTTTGATGTAGCCATATTTGTTATATTCAAAACCTACTCCACACACTCAAAGTAAAGAACAAAAAGAAGTAAATACAGTAGGTAACTCATTTGAAAGAAAAATGGAAAACTCACAGTTGCCCATGTGTTCAAATCCTTTCTGTGGCAGACCTAAATTAATTTGCTTTCACAAAATTACTGTAGCAAGCCACACAATTAGTTGAGTGGCCTCTGTGTACAATAATAGTGGTTCTCATGATTTCAGAATAGAAACACCTGAATCTGTGAAGTTCCTTGGTCAGGTAGGGAATGTTAAGCAAAGATTTAGCTATGAAAACTAAGGAGCTTTCAAAACAAGTCAAGCATAAAGTCATTAAAAGTAAAGTCATTAAAGGTAAAGATCAGGAGAAGGGTAAAAAATATCCTCAGCCACCCGTTTTGTCCCGCAACACCTGGGGCGCGAACCCGGGTCTCCGGCGTAACACAACAGGGAACCAGCCACATAAGCTAAAAGAGACCTCCCTCAGTCCAGGCAGCTGAGGTCCCTGCTATGTGCAGGGAGGGTGATGATGTCACCGTATCCGAACTAGCTCCGCTACACCCTCCCCTGCTGACTTCGCCTCAGCAAAGGACACTCCCATCCGGGTCATGGCACCAGTGTGACCCTTGCGGTTCTGCGCGGGCTCGTGCCCTCCGCCACCCGGTTCGTCCCATAACACCTGGGACGCGAACCCGGGTCTCCGGCATAACACAACAGGGAACCAGCTGCATGAGCTAAAGGAGACCTCCCTCAGCCCAGGCAGCTGAGGTGACATCGTCAGCTGAGGGCGATGACGTCACCGTATCCAAACTAGCTCCGCTATACACAGTCTGGTCAATCATCAAGAAAAGGAAAGTGTATTATAAAATCCAGACTTGCCTAGATCAGTCCATGCCTCCAAACTGAGCATCTGGGTCAGGAGGAAACTGGTGAGGGAACGACACCACCAAGGCCAATGAAAACTGAAAGAGCTACAGAGCTCAGTGGGTGAGATGAGAGAAAATGTGTCTCAGTCAACAAAATCCTTGTCTCTCCACAAAGCTGGTGTGTGTGGAAGAATGGAAACCAATTTCATAACCTGCAGAATGTGGCAAAAGGTGAAACTTTTGTTAGAAGTGATGGAAAAATGGATTGAGAGATGTACTGTACAGCAAATACTACAGGAAAATCTGTTTCAATCTGCTAAAAACCTAAAGCAAAGGCAAAAGTGCACCTTTCAGCAGAACAATGATTTAAAGTACAAGGTCAGACTACATAGGAGTGGCTTAAGAATAAGAAAATGAGTGGCACAGTCAAAGTTCTGACTTGAATCTGTGAAAAGACTTGAAGATTTCAAGCTTATGTTCTCGAGTGCTTGATCTGCCTAGAACAATGGGCAACGTTGGTAAAGACCTACCAAAAAAGATTTGATGTTGTAATTGCTGCAAAAGGTGTTTCCACTAAAATTGAGATCATGGGTGCGTTTTCTTTTCTGACATTAACCATAATTTATCTTTCTGTAAGACATCTTCAGGTTGAGCATTAAATTAATAAAATAATAATAACGAAATATGTATGCATCTTTTTTTATTTTGCAACATGGGACAAAATAGGAAGACTATATTTTTGCAACACACAATTAGTTGGAGAAATCGTGAGTCTTTCTTCTTTTCAGTACTGTTTCTTACAAATAATTACATGTTTCTGTATGACTTCCACCGCAGAGCACCAGATTTATATAACCATATAAATGACATTGGCTTTTTGTTAAATAATGCTTAAACTCTGTTTCTCTTCTTTCTTTTTTTCAGACCCTGTACATGTTCCTCGCTCTGGCTATTATCTGTGATGATTTTTTTGTTCCTTCTCTGGAAAAAATATGTGAGGTAAGAGGTGCATACAGTTTTTTACTGGGGCATGTGTTCTATGTATGACCCAATTTGTAAAGGTCTGGCATTGAATGCATGTAGTTTTCTACACGGGCAACAAGTGACATTGCTTTTGCAATATTTATTATTTCATCTTGGCGTTTTGAAGGATTTACACTTGTGGTTATAAATACAGAAATATCAGATTGTCGAAATAATAGGTCCTTATTGTTCAGAGAGGTCAATAGAATGTTCAGTGTCACTTCTGCTCTGATCTGCATTGTGAGTGAATTAAGACAGTCTATGAGACTGTTCTGGTCTAAAGACATATTCTTGAGAACTTTAGTATCATATTCTACATATGTTACACAGGAAATAGCAGAACATGTGGAAACATACATGTTTAAATAATTCAGGTGAGTAACTGTGTCAGCATGTGTAGGCTGCAAATGAGCAAGTATTAGGTTTATTCCATGTTAAAAAAAAGAAGAAAGAAAACAACGTTTCTTTTTTTCAGCATGGAATAAACCTATTACTTGTTCTTTTGCATGTTTAAATAATGTTTTAATTGACTCATAATCTGGCTTTTAACTATAAGCATGTATAATCTAATCAAATTCTTTTGGAGTTAATAAGAGGCTTTCAGGAGAAAGGTATGAATACAGACCTTTGAACTATTATTTCCCAGTCTTTTTTAGTGTTGTCAGTTTGCCATTCTTACTTCTACCTCTTCCTTTTAAATCTGTGTTAAACTCGCATTTAAAATTAACTACTAGTGTCCAAGTTCTGCGTCAGTGCTCATCTATCAACTTCCTTATGTCAACATCAGACTATTAAATTCTGAACTTGCCGTGAAATGCATTTAAAACTGAGAACTGGAGGCGATTTTTTACACAAAAAAGGTTATGAAACAGGCTACCCATGGTGTTGAAACCAAGTCCCTGGCTTCTATCAAGAAAAAGATGAGATCCTTGTATCAATAACTGAATTCCCTTTCTCAACTGTAACTTTCTTCCTTTACTTTGCTGCTGTTCAGCTGTACACTGTTCAATTCTATATGTAGCCGCTCACTTTTTGAAGTCAATCAGGCACCTACAGTAGGATTACAAACCTTTTTTTCATTGTACTTGTTCTTTCTCGTTCACAAATGCTTTAATTCTAGATAAAAAGAAGCACCCTTTTAAATATTTTTGTTGCTGCCATGGGTATCTAAACTATAGGCTGTGGCTCATTAAATCCTCGTATAAAAGAATCTGAATTTGTGTCTAGGCTTCAGTACTCACAGGGTTGTAGTATGCATGTTACCCAGAGTCCTTGTGTGCTAAAGACATGTATTTTCATAACTTTTCATTTTAAGGTCTTATTTGTAGAGGTTTACCATTGAGGTCTAATTTTGATTTATACCCAATATTTTAATTTCAGTCCCTACAGTGATTGTTAGTATCCTTGTTTAATTAACAATGTTGCAAACCCACCCTTTGCTGTATTACTGTACATACTCCAATGCAGCATAAATCATTACTTGTCTCACCCTTGATACCTGTCTGCATTCAGATTTCAAGCAAAGTAAGGCCTGGTCAGTACTGGGATAGGAGACTTCCAAAATACAACAGGTTGCCGTTTTGACATGAGTGTGTAGTAGGTTCAGACAAAATGGTGATATATTTCTCATGATCATGTTCTCCTGCCATTTTTTCACCTAACCAATTGTTGAAAGACCAGAAGAGTTTCTCTGTTATGTACCAAACCGCAAAGGAAAGGAATCAACTTGCTGACTAGCTTTTTGAGTTGAGAATGTCGGGTTTTGATGCTGCTTAGTTACCCAGCATTGATCAGAATAAAAATTTTAGTTACACCTTAGGAACAACTTTCTAGGTATTTGTTTGCTTTTTTTTGTCTTCCCCCACACTGTAAATAAAGAATACTGCATTACCTGTCAGTTGCCTCTTACACATCTTTTGTCTGAAGCCCACCTATTTAAAAGATCTGGCTATCACAAGGCTTTTTCCTGGCTGTGAAGAATGGAGAGTAAGTTGCAGTCTTGGGAGCAGCACACTCTAGTGGCTGTAGTTGACAGTGGGAAGCAGGAACAGATAAAAAATGGATGCAGGTGTTCATATGGATGAGAGATCATGATATAGTCCATGCATAAGAGTAGTGGTTAACCCTGGTGTCCTGGATAAATTCCACTGGGTTTATGCAAGGGTGAACTGACCTCCCCCTTAATTCAAAAGGTCAAGTAACTTCTTAACTGTCCATGTGATCTGCTTTGTAGTGGGGTTGCTGGCAGATAATGACTGTACTGTATGTCAGTGGTGGATTAAGTGTGATATATGTCGTATCCTTTTGGTTGATAAATGAAAGCAAATATTATTTTGCTCTTTTCAGCCCCAAAAGCATTTTGTTTTCTTTTGTGTAAAAAAGATTTTCAGTAGAACCTTTCTTTTTCTGGAAGAAAACAAGTGTGCCTCTTTGTTGATCCCCTCAAGGGTTTGCTTTTTAGGGTTACCAAGGGAATGCATACACCCACCTGCCTTCATCCAAGTGTTGCTATATGTTTTAGATCAGCATGTCACCAGATACTGTAGGCCTTAAAGCATTGCTTTTTCAAGCAGAAGTCATATGATTAAATGATTAAATAGGATATAATACATCATGCTATTTTGTATCCCTTACATATGCAATAAGTATGGGTCTTGTGTGCCTTATCCTAACTGAACAGCTGTGGTGCATTTTTGTATCCTCTCTATTTGTCTTTACTACAGTTTTATTGCTTCATCCACTGCCTTATTTGACATCTCTTCCTTTTCAGGATTCTAGTGTGCACAACTGTCTTTGCATTTAAAATGGGGTATTAATTTGTTGATTAATTCAAAATAATCCGTGAACAATGTCCGGATGAGCATAATTTGTAACAGAAATGTGAAGAATGTAAACGTGCCCTGTCCTCAGCCATCCATCCATTTTCTTGCCACTTTATCCAATACAGGTTGCAAGGAAGTCAGACCCTATCCCATCAAGCCACTGGCACAAGATGGGATGATCCCTGGAGGGATGCCAGCCTATTGCAGGGGACATTATAGCACAAACATGCACATACTCACACCAGGGACAATTTTCCCAGAAGCTGTTTAACCTACCAGTATGTTTTATGGACTATGGGAGAAAACCAGAGCACCTGGAGGAAACCCACGCCAACACATGGAGACCATACAAATTCCATACTGATACCACCACAGGTCTGGAATTGAACCCAAGCCCTGGCTCTGTGAGGCGTGCAATGTCATCATTGCATTTTCTAGGATAATAGTAAATTTTATGGTGTTTTTTAGATTTAAAAATTCTCTGTTGACTGCCTTGGAATTGTTTTTATTCTCTTGTGATATAAAACCGTTGCTCCATTTTTCTTCATCTCCCTAGATTTAAGAACATAAGAAAGGTTAGAAATAAGAGGAGGTAATTTGGCCCATCAGGCCCATTTGATCATTAGCAGTTAATTGATCCAACAAGTTTATCCTGCCTTTTCTTAAAAGTAGCGAGGGTGTTGGCTTCAGCTACATGTTTGAGTAGCTTACTCCATACACCCACAACCCTTTGCGTAAAGAAGTGCCTCTTATTCTCAGCTTCCACGTAGCCTACATTTGTGTCCTCTGTTTTAGTCTAACCATTAATCCTCTACTAGTTTCTCTCCGCAGTGACTGCTACAGCATCACACCTATCTTCTACCATATAAAGCCTTTTGAGCTGGTTAATACAATGTCTGATTTGCCCCAGTTCCATTTTTCTTCCTTACATGCTGCTAATTTTCATACTGTGAGTATCAATCTAAACCTTTCACAAATAGCACAGTTATAACAGATTCCCAAAGTTTCAAGTGTGGATGTTTCGGGAGCCCTCATTTCCCATTTTGGTGTATCAAATCCGTAAAGAGTTGCTACTTGCAAATATTTTGGGAATGCTTGCAATTATCTGCATTCAATTCTGCATTCTTGCCCCCCATCTACCATTTGTAGTTCGATTCCTAGCTGCAACCTCTCACTGCTTTATGCTTCCATTGGTCATGCAGCCCATCTTAAGAAATATTCAGACAGTAATAATGCATGGCTGGCTGAACCCAGTATTTCTAATGTTTTCAAACGTATGCCTTCCTGTAGCACCTTCTGGAACAGTACACTTTGCCACTCACCTTTATTTTGATGTTGAAGTTCTGACAAAGTACCATTGGTAGGGTGCAGATCATTACTAAGGTGAGAGGTGTGTCCTAATGTGATTCCTTTTCTGTGCTATTTCAGTTCTTTTTAAAAATTTAGTAGCATAATCCAATCAGAAACAAATCCATACTCAGATCATTTTGCAGTTGGTCATATTTATTACATTGTTAATTTTGGTGAATGAACTACAGAGCAGTTTTACTTTCTGACTGGATTTCAATCTGTAATCAAAATGGATTAGAGTTACTCACTTTCAGGGTCACCCAAATAGCATTACTGACTGGCACAAGTGCCATGCTTATTGTTCCAAATTTAGTTCAGTAAACCTGATGCTTAAATATTCAATCTAATGTCTAGTTTCTGCCCCTGCCTACCTAGGGCTCAGACTAGAGGTATCCATTCTTCACTCCAAACTAATTCCAATCCTGATCCTATAAATAAATTATTATACCCAGTGTATCTCCTGAAACCTCATTATGTTACTTCATTTTTCCACTGTTGGCAATGTGCTGTATAATCACCTTGATTTTTAGAAGCTAGTTTTAGATAATAGGATTGTAATGAAATACATGCGCAACAATTTAAGAACAGTAGCTGTACACACAGTACCCTTGACACATCCCAAAAACACTTAAGATGGATAATTAGTGTTTTGCATACAGAGAATAAATGTTCACTAAGATAATCTGAGCAGTTTCCTGTACATCTTCTGCTTGCCTATGAAAAAGTTGTATTGTTAATATCTCTCCAAGGTGGAGAAGTTGCTACTGATAGTAAAAATAGTATCTTGCTCAGCACTTCAATTTA